TGGGCAGTTCAGCCAAGGCCCTAGTTGTCGCCTGGAATGGGCAAGTGGCTGGGGCCTTGGACTGGATTGCCCCTATGTGGCCTCTCTCTGTGTGCCAATCCTGGGTTCCAGCTTGGAGCTCCAGGAAATGAAGCACCAGAAGAGATGCCTGGAGTGCCATTGGAGGAAGACTTGAAGTAAGTCTGATCAAACATGGGTAAGAGCCCATATTATGGATTACATCATGGTGATAACAGTGATGAAATGTCAATATTTCTCCACCCTTATAGTTTCTGCTAATAGTTGTCCAGCAGCCCTATTTAAGGTGACATGGTCCTTGCTTGGCAGGGAGGGCCCCCAGGATCATCTACAGGGCTGCTGTGAGTAGCATGCAGGCTATCTGGCGGATAAGGTCACTCTGACTTTATCCACACCGATTTGGACTCTGACCGGCCAAATCTGGCCAAGGTGGCTAGGGCCTAGTCTTGTGGTGTAATCTAGGAAGAGTTAGAACCTGTGACTTCTGAGGAAGCGGACAGCGTTCTCTATGCTATTAGTTCAGCCACCGGTTTATTGGACCTGGGCCTCTCCTAAGTCATGAAAATGAACTAGGATCTGGTTGGGTCCATGTTATGGTGTCAGCTTCTCTGAGGAAGGAGGTGGTGCCTCCAGCCTTGAAGGAGGAGGTGGTGTACCTCCTTCTTACGAGGCTGTCCTTGGACCCAGTGATTTTAGATAACTTTTGTCCTGTCTCTGACCTGCCCTTTATAGGCATTCTGGAGGGCCTTAAAGACCAGGCTCTTCTCCCAGGCTCTGGGCCAGGGTGGCCAGAGTACCTTGCTGGGTGTGTGATATATGTTTTCCTGCTGTTGGCCAGATTTGCCATGTTGTTTAATGTTTTCTATTTCAATTGTATATTTTATTCTGTTTTTTATACTGTCAGTTGCCCAGCTGATCTGGTGGCAGGTGGCACCTAAATCCTGGCTGGTTGGCTGGCAAGATAGACAGACAGACAGACATTTAAATCTCTTCTTATTTATTATCTTGGAATGGAAAAGTCCTTTTGCTTGACCATTTCTTCTGTAGATACTTATTTAAGAAAGTTACTTGGTAAGAGTGGGATAAATTGGCTAAATATGGGGAGAGTTAAGGAGCTGCTTTTGAATGTAAGAACCCCTATCTTTTCTTCCATAACTTAATCATTTTTCCTAACATTGTCAAGATCCATAGTTTTATATGATTTTTATTACACAAATCTGGTTCCTGTTTGACAATGGCAACATTTTCCTGTTTGGCCTTTCTTTATTGGCACTTCATCCTACTCTCTACTCTAATCCTTTTGACTGTACTTTATGCAGCTGTTATGATGTACTGGGTTCAGTGGACTTCCTTACCTTATTTTATCAATGCACTGGTGCTATTTCAAAGACTCTGCCATAGAATGAAGATTTCCAGAATGGATGGGCAGAAACCCTGCTCAGGAGCAAAGAGCTAATACTCCTCAATTTTGTAGTTTCTCTCAGAAATCACTACCACTTCAAGCCTTAAAATGGCCAGAATTGTTGTGTGAGACAATGAATGGAGTAAATATGAGAATAACTTTGAGAAAAACGCTGGAGACTACATGCCAGCGAAGACATTGCACTATAGAATACTTTTCCCCATGTACAGGTATATGTAGTACGCATGTTCTCTGTTCTTTCTCATAAACACATTTTCTCTCACACGTAAACTCCACATATATACACACATATAGTACACACTTTGTTTTCTCATACTTACACATTCCATTCTGATCTATCGTACAAACATATACTCGATTCATATTCTCTTTACATACATATTTTGCACAAATTCCATTCACCCACACCTCAATTTAATTTATCTCTTACAGAGCTTATTTATGTTCTGACATAATGTGCTCATAAACACATTTTCTCTCACACGTAAACTCCACATATATACACACATATAGTACACACTTTGTTTTCTCATACTTACACATTCCATTCTGATCTATCGTACAAACATATACTCGATTCATATTCTCTTTACATACATATTTTGCACAAATTCCATTCACCCACACCTCAATTTAATTTATCTCTTACAGAGCTTATTTATGTTCTGACATAATGTGTTTTCCTTCCATTCTTGAATCAAAAGAAAAGTATGTTGGTATGAAAAGTACTGTCTACAACGTACCTTTACCTCACCCTGGCAATGTGGCCACTCAGCATTACTGTCTGAATACAGTATACTGTACTGTAATGCAATGTGGGCCAGTAATTGGCAGAATCCCTATTTTCCTTCCTCCTCCTACCCAGCATCATCTACCATCAAGTAAACAACCTGCAGTTGTTCTCCTGAACCTGTGGTTGGATAGGGTTGGGAGACTCCAAAGACTTGCTATTCCTTCATCCACAATCATCTGGAATATTTTCTAAGGGAATGGAGATTTCAGGGTCAATATTTATTACTTTGATCCCAGACAAGCTTGGACAGCTGAGGCTCAGTATTTAGCACTGAGGGAGAAGGTAGAACACTGAAAAGGGGAGCACCTGCTCCCATGCAAGGGTTGGAGAAAAGCAGGCCTGTAATGGGGTTAGGGTGCATGAAGGGGAATGGCCACTGGGTTTTGCTCTGCCTGAATTTTCCCTCCCCATACAGTCTTGCCATAAACAATCCTGTCACCCACAAATCCAGAGTTTCTTGCACACTCACATAAGTCTCCATGCACAGTTTCCATTTCAGGCAGACCAGCTGCTTCAGTCTATGCAGCTTCTTTGTTTCAACCAATGTTACAAAATCTGCCCTTTTGACTGGCCACAAGGAACATTCAGCTACAGGTTGAACTGGCTAAGCTAAAATGCCCAAGGAGGAAAAAAAACTAGAGGATCCCAGCTGACTGGATTCCAAAGACTGGTCTTTGGCTGGCCAGGACCACTCTCCCAGCTGACATGAAATCTCCAGATTCGTTTGTGGTCCTCTGCTTAGCCAGTTGGGATTTTCATCAAGCCCATTAACTAGATCAGGCCTGCACAACATATGGGCAGCAGGCAGCCCATCAAGCACCTCTGTGTGGCCCACTGGTGTTTTTTAAAAAATGAATTCACCATCACCAAACACCCTACCAGGAAGGATCAACTGCTGCTGCCCCAAAACACATAGAGCCAAGCACCTCCAACACCTCCAGGCCTTACCTACACCACCAGCTCCATTGCTACCGCCTCTCTGCTAGCTGCTGAACAGCTGATCAACACACCAGTTATTCCTTTGTGGTCCACAATTAATTTTAATTAATACATTAATTTATCATGTCCTCTCCCCTCTACAAGTTGTGCAGACCTGCCCTTGATCAAAGTCAAGAACAGTAGTGCCAATGCTGAGTATGGAGCCCTTGTAATTCAAACCCTGCTCAAATGGGAGGTTAGTCACCAGGAGACCAAGGAGGTGGTTAACCATAAGCAGTTGCCAAGCCAGACACTGCCTGCCCAAGGAATTCCTGACCCTACCTTTTCTATGAGTTCAGCTGTTATTAAGATAAAAAAATAAGATGTTGCATTCCAAGTAGAATAAAAGAAATACAGTACTGGGAGCTAGCACCTGCTGCAAGTGAGAGCTAACGGAAGCAGCAGCTTCAGGTTTTGTGTAATTTCTCTTCTAATAACCACTATCCTTCCTGTTGCTTTAAGATGCATTCTTAGTGATTTCCTTGTTTACGAGTTACCTAAGCCGAGTTAATTCCAAGCATCTAAAAAGCTCCAGGCTAAAGAATGGCAATTAATTGTTTATAATGTTTGTGAGGATTATAAGAACATCCCTGCATTCTTCTTAGTACATTCCTGTACTTGATGGTTGTCCCTGTCAGATTGGAGAGTGTATGAATGCAATTGTGCCCTACGTCCGCTGTAAAGTGAGCTATGGCTAAGGGAAGGGCAGGACTGATATAATGCATCCCTTTCCCTTGAGGTTATATTCACTTTTTTTCCCCTGCATTCCCCTTCTTAGCTATTGCACCTGACACATGGCAACATCCCTTGCAAATCTGTCTTTGTCCAATACTGACAGGGCTTTCATAGTGTTAACAAAGAGACAGTGTTAGGGCCTCTCTTTCCAGACTGGCATTATAGAGGCTGCCTGTCTGGTTAACACTGATTTAAAATCGATGTTTGTTTGGAAAGGTTTTTATTTTCTTTTGCTTGCCCCTGTTGCAATCTGCAGTTGTTCCCATGCCTTCTCAACAGGTTTTGAGTCCTTGGGCTTACAAAGGCATAGTCACTTAGCATTAATTGTTTCCTGCACCAGGCAGCCAGTACTCCCTTGGAGCCACGGTGAGGCTGTTCTTCCCAGGCAGAACCAAGTCAGTCACTGAAAAGGAGACCAAAGAAAAGAGACATAATGGAGTGCATTGAAGTGAGATCAGTCTCATGGGGTGGGGTGAATAGGAATGCAGAGTGGCCTGAGAGCAGAAATGAAGTAGTGTCTCATGAAATTTGGGGTCAGGAGTCTCACAAGGCTTTCTTTCCCTCTGTTTCATTCTCATGGGTGCCTACATGAAGAACTGGGTCTGGTGGGAAAAGATGCCTTCAGAGTCTGCTGGCACTTTCACTGATGCTTTACAGATGCTA